AAAACATCTCTCCCATTTCAAATAAATTATGGTCATGTTTCTCGCAACTTCAAGAAACTTCGCGGGAAAAGCACTTCTGTTCAGTTAATATCGTCAGCATTTAGTCGAATCCTTTATTCTGAAAGTAGGTCAAATTTATTTCTCAAGTTCACGATAACTTACGTATATTGTCCTTGGAGGATCTTCATTGTTTTTGGAAATTGAAGTACTTGAAGGAAGGAAATAATACATTACATTCTTCCTGCGACAACATTGCTATTCAAAGAAAGTCAATCTACGGGGATCATCGTTGACAAATCCTCAGAAAGGGGGTTCCCCGCTGTTTTTCATCTTCATTTGGCTTTGAAAAAATAAAAGAAATTGAGTTTAAAGGGATTAGTTTGATGAATCACTTATAGTCTCTTGCATCCCTTGAAAATTGGTATTTTAATTATCCTGTCTTCCGTCCTGCTTCCCAAGGGTTTAATATAAACCTCAGGAAACACAATTATTACTATTTCGGAGCTATTTGGCATTCATTCAGTTTATGAGATGATGTGTGCACTTCAACCGCGCATGCAACCCTTAAGTATCACCAAAAGTCCTGATTTCACCAACGGGCACAAATGGGGAATTTAGTGACCCAAGGAGGCTGGGAACAACTTCTGCATTGGGCTTCACCTGCCAGGAGGGTTTCTATGCCAACCATTTCGCGCAATTCTTATCTTCCATCACGCTTCTAGAAACGAGGAGGTGGGGCCTAGAATCTCACGAGGGAATATATCGTCTCCTCCCCTCATTTATTTCTAGAATAACGAATCGCTCATGGCGCCCAGTCGGTCATTGGAACGTGCTAAAGGCCTCTCAAGGAATCGTCACGTTGTTGGGATGATTATGCACATGTGGCCATTGTTGAAGGAGTTTCGATTTTATTTTTGAAAATTTCCTGCTTCTCACGCGAAATTGAGACTTTCGAGGGATCCGACGATTCTTTCCGGGGGAAAAATTACGCCATTCCGGGGCCTGTTCACGTACGTACAATACATCATACTCGCGCAAAGCCCGTTTCTTGCACCTGGCTTCACGGAATGAATGTATTCGTTTCGAGAATAATCAGCTGAATACTTATTCTAAAAAAAACATAATCAGTCGAAAAGAAAGGAGAATGTTGGGTTGCCGGGCAGATGTGGAGCTACGAGAGGAATTTACAGTATTTGGAACCGAATCGACTTGTCTAGACGGCTGTCGGGAGATGGATCCCGGGAATTTTGCCGAGTGACGGAGACCCGCGTTTTTTTTTTTCGACTGAGTGTATTCGTCAGCTCATTTTCGCGTCTGTGATTCGTACACACTTTTCTAATTTCAACCGATGTCCCTTACTACGAACAATTTCTCTCAACGGTTGATTACGCGTTGATTTATCGTCTGGTGATGCCGTTGTTTCTAGAATTCCCGATATTAATTCTTTCGAGTGTTGTCTCTTTTGTGTTTCTATAAAGAAATAAGTGAACCGCTGTGTCAAGTACAGTACACTAAAAATGTGTTCGACAAATCAAGAAGATTTTAATGTTTTATATGGCCGGCCTTATTTGATAGTGTCTTGCATGCGACATAATCACTTCCGATCAACAAAATCTTGAAATAAAATATGCTGTGAAATGCAATTCAACATCTTGATACGACAATTTTCAGAGCAAGGGCACACGAATGAGAATAATGTATTCATTTTTGTTGGAAGTGTTCGAAGATACAGTATCAAGGTGGATACTGAAAAATTAATTGAGAATAAACAGACTGCTCTTTTTGTTAAGACGTTGAAGGACAAGAAAGTGGCTTACCCAAAAAATATAGATGCGTCTCACAATCGACTAAATACAGTAGTGAAGATCGAAGAAGGGATGAAAACGGATCTGAATCGCTAAAGAATGTGAAGTGATATAAATGTGAAGCAGTATTTATGACGTTGTACATGCAAGGATCCTGTGTACCCAGTTAATGCACGCAATCGAGGTATTGTACAGTACTTGTGCTTCCAAGAAATACTGCACATCCAAATTTTTGTTATTCCTTGAAGATTTGTGAACCAATCTCACATCAGTTTATGTTCGCGACATTTTCAGCACCAGACACTTATGTTCTCGTCGAAGAAACGGAACTAATGAAGAAGAACCCTCGCGATTTCAAGTACTGTACATTCTCGCACCAGAAATTCATGCAATAGAATCTTGCTTTAGCGAAGCTATTCGGGACCTGCACAACCGTTTTGGGAATTGGTCGAGATTATACGCCCGAATGCGCTAGGAAAACATGTAGGGTAAACGCATGATGATGTTTGAGGAAACAGGGCATTGTATTTTGAAACATTGTACAGTACTTTGGAACAGATGGTACTCTGACGCAAACCGAAGAAAATCTGGATTTTGAATGCAGTTATGATGCGATGAGGATGAGCATGCCCAATGAAAATGAACAGTTTCGGTTTGATGTTGGTCGCAGTAGTACTTTAGAAGGGCGATCAGAGTCTTCATTCACTGAGCCGTGGAAAAAATTATGTATACTGTATGTATAGTACAATGTTTTTTGTCTTAGTCATAGTTAGCCAATGGGCTGGGAGTGTTTGAGCGACACCTATGATGGAAGAGAATCGATTCGGAGCGAACCTCGGGCCAATATCCTAAGGGATGCCCTTCATTCGTTTCAACGAAAATCAATGATTCGTCTTTTCCACTCCTGAAAAGTTTCGATGAGGTTTCAGACATTTTTCATGAATCTGTATCTGGATTTTAAAAATCTCAAGAGATACTTACTCGAGAATCCTCGCACGCTCCTCCAATTCATCTCACCGAATGACAGTGTTGACTTCATTCCGGAACTTCGTTTATTACATTTTGAAGATTTTCAAAAAAAAAAAAAACACAGACCCTTCTGGGGCTCTGTGGGAGGGTTGGAGGGAGACAGGATGATATGTTGGGAGGGGTAGATAAACTGATCAACTGACGGACACCGCACGCAAGTAACTTTATTAGTAAGGATGAGGATGAGCATGCACAATGAAAATGAACAGTATCGGTTTGATGTTGGTCGCAGTAGTACTTTAGAAGAGCGATCATAGTCTTCATTCACTGAGCCGTGGAAAAAGTTATGTATACTGTATGTATATAGTACAATGTTTTTTGTCTTAGTCATACAGTAGCTAGCCAATGGGCTGGGACTGTTCGAGCGACACCTATGATAGAAGAGAATCGATTCGGAGCGAACCTCGGGCCAATCTCCTAAGGGATGCCCTTCATTCGTTTCAACGAAAATCAATGATTCGTCTTTTCCTCTCCTGACAAGTTTCGGTGAGGTTTCAGGCATTTTTCATGAATCTGTATCTGGATTAATAAAATCTCAAGAGATACTTACTCGAGAATCCTCGCACGCTCCTCCAATTCATCTCACCGAATGACAGTGTTGACTTCATTCCGGAACTTCGTTTATTACATTTTGAAGATTAAAAAAAAAAAACAAAAGCCGAAATCGAGGTGCAAAAAGAACTCACTACTAGGGGATATCGGTATCTCCTTTTCCTCCTTTCAATAAATACAAATCAGTAAAGCGTATTCCATGTCTACTCATGGTGATTTGCGGTTGTCATTCAATTTGAAACACGATTTACAATTACTGTACGCGGTAACATAAAAATAATACTTCTTCAGATTCGCAATGACTCGTTGGTGGGGGTTCCCCCAAAAAGTTTCGATCGCATCGGGCTTCTTGGTTTTAGTTTTGCTATTCACACCTTCACCTTCCGACCATAAAAAAAATAATTTTCCAGACCACGCGACGATCATGATTGCGTAACATCACTAACGCGTTAAAAAGTTGGTCCGTCCTCAAGAAAAATCTTCTCGGTTTCGTTCGTGAAACTGGTGTAATGGTCCCATTTCTCTCTGCGGTCGTGAAAGCTTCCAACCATCAAAATATTGGAGTCTCGCAGTTTTTTTTTTCGACTGTGGTGATCCTTTTTTTACTGCTGGAGAGTGTGCCACTGGCTGACCTTCACGTTTGGTTTTTGCATCATCTCGTCCCAATGGGCCACGCCTGGAGGACTAGACACGAAAGACACCGGGCCCACTGCTGCTTTCCCTATGCATTTTTTGCGGCCTGGAAGAAAATTAACAGCATATTCATTCTTTTCATTCTCAAATCCATCTAAACTCTTCCTGTGGACAAAATGACTGTTTCGAATCTAAATGTGCATGCTGTACTCAAGATGCGTGAATTAATTGATAATTACCCATGGATTGCCTTTGAATAAATTCCTATTTTTTTTAGGGTGTGCAACATTTCTGAGATTGATTAAACACGACGAATTTTTCCCAGTGAACCTCGATTACTCAAACCTCGTTAGTTCCATTTTTTTAAAATTCCGTATCTGAATTCCCTTGGAAAAAATCATGAAAAAAAACCTCTGTAACTCAAACTAAGCCTCGGGATCTTGCGCAGAATCAGTCGCATCACGGTCAAGGAACAGGAAAGTGTTCTTACCAAACCGGCCTTTGTACCAGACCGAAACTTCGCAGAAGATATCGTACAAGTAGTTGCCAGGAACGTGCATGTTGAAAGTTTCGTCGAAAATGGGGTCCTTGGTGCCGCGAACTATGTCCGTTTTCTTTGACTTGATGACACGCTTCCCTTCGTACAACTCGAACTTGACATACAATCCTCCTATTGATTCTGAAACATGAATGGTCAAGCCAACATTAGGTCGTGTCTGCTCGAGAAAACATCCCATGGGTTTACTCGCACGCTCGAAAAGAATGATTCGGTTTGAAACATATTTGACTGCTTCATGCTCTAAAAATTCCTTCGCTGTTTTGATTTTTGTGCAAGTATAGGATCTTTTCATTGACAGGTGCTGGGCAATTCCCGCGTGTTCTGTTTCATGCGACGAAGTAAGAAAATATGTCGATGGGAACTTTATAATCATGCCAAAAATCCTCTAATTGATCCTAGTGGTTCCCCTGAAAATAAGAAGAGATTACAAAATTAAAGATGGATTAAATTCCTTTAGAATAATGAAAAACATTCTATAAAATTAAGTTGAATTAAGCTTTCATTTAGGATCTACAGTAGTTTATATTTGCTAAAGTTTTTGCAATACTGTAATTCAATCCTGATTCGGAGACCAGGGATGCGCATCTTCTACAACGAACACTTACGCAGTTGAACCTGAAGACTCAAACCTCCACAAGTCGAATACCTCCCTATTTAAAATTGTTTTGGGGTGATTTCCCTTAAAAGGGATTCACTAAGAACCCCCGGACTTGACAGGCTTTCCTCGTCCTCAAACCTCAAAAACTCGATTTATCTGGAGGCCTTTCCTGTTATTTTATTGACAAAGGTAAGGGGAAAGCAATAAAAAATATATCTTGACGCGTTTTTAAAGAATAATTTGGCAAATAAACCCGTGCCTCCAAGCCCAGAAACATGTCAACCCATTCAAGACGCAATTAAAGGCCTAGAATATCATCAATTACATTCTCTCGTTGTTCGTTCCCCAACGCAAATGCTTGTTTCCCAACTCGAAGCCTCCCGAACTCGATTTTTTTTTGCTGGTCCCCTGAAGTTCGGCTTAAAAATGATCGACGGTACTTATACAGTACTGAGGTTTGTTACATTGCAGCATCTCGGTTTGAACAGCATTATCACCGGTTTCGACAGGGGGCAAGAAAAATACCGTTATCGAAGCGCAATCCAGAGGTTGACTCTCTTTGCCAACGCAGTTCCCTGGCCTGGATGCAGTCGATGCTAAACAACCTGGAGATCTCATCGTACTTGAGACTCAGCAGTACTCCGCCAACGCTGCACCTTTCGGTGTCCGTGTCCAGAGTCTCCTTCAGTTCTCTCCAGAATTCCCCGGTTTTTACTTCGCGGGTCACTCCTGAGTGAATCCCGGCTTCTTTCAGCTCGAACTTGACGTAGCCGATGACGATTTGACGCGAAAACTTGTCGTAGTCGCAAGCCTTCAGTTTCAAGTGCTGTCGAGGATGCAAGGATTTACTTTAAAGAATGCAGTGTTTCTAAAAAAAAACTTTCAAGACCCTGCGCTGCCCCTTTAAAAATAAATGTTCATGGCGGAACCTCTAGTCCCACAGATATTTTTTCGGTGGAGCACGTATGTACAGTATTGCAGATCTTCATTTTGCGCCTTAATTTATGAGATTATTGCATTTGGTCTTTCGTTTGGCAAACCTGCTGGTTCCTTGTGGACCCAACTTCAGCAATTTACATTTGAAAAACATTTTTAATTTCCCCGGAACTGTCACAAATCCCCCAAGAAGCTCGCGAGAATCCTTTGGGGAGACGTGTAGCGCAGGTTGAACATTTATCATTCAGAGATACAGAACGTGTTTAAGATTACGTGTTTTACTCTAAAGTTGACAATTGCGTCGACGAAACGAAGTGCTCGCGGTTCCAGACAGCCGCGTGTTACTCTCAATTCGTGATTTGCGATTGAATCAACGGCGTAAAATGATTATTATAAAAATTAAAAATATATGCATAGGGAAGCAAATAAATAGTACAGAATCGAGGCACGCGGGGATCACTTGATAGGTCTGCAAAAATAAATTCCATGCTTATTCTTTCGATTTTTAACGCTTATCAATGAAGCCAGCAATGCAACGTCACGCGAGCAAATTCCAACCGCGACATTTTTTAATGGAAGCTGGCCAATTTGAAAGCGTGAAAATGATGAAATTGAAAAACTTAGCCCTCACCTTGTCATCCAGTGCTGTTTTTTTGATGCTGAAAGCAAATTCCTCGTCATATATCGGGTTCGAAGTGTTGCGCTTGACTTTCGTGGAAAACTTCTGGTGTTTGTCAGGGATGATGGTGAGGCGGATGAAAGGGTCTACACTGTGCCTTCTTGACTTGGCGTTCAATCCAGATGCCCCAATGATATAAACCTGCAACAAAAACAATGGGAATCGTACAATATGTTTTTTTTAATAATCATGCAAATGTCTGTTCCGACGAACGCGGCTGATATTCGTCACCCTTAGTGTATTTATCCTGAATCTTAACGCGACATACTCTTCAGGTAATTTTCAAGAAATAGGAGGCCTACATTTTAATCAGATAAAAGTCGAATCATACTTTATCATCCATCAAATTATTATCATTTCTACCTAATTAATATTATCATCTAATAATATCGACTATTATTATTTATCTACGGTAATCCTAATCGTTATCTAATATTACTTTCCTCTAATTCCTATCAAGTGAACTTTGCGCGAAGTCCATTTTACAGAATTTTAAGGCAATTCAAATCTTAGGCTTTCATCTTCCAGTTTTCACAGTTTTATCTGAATACGCCGTGGAAAGCCAACTTGCGTACATCCACGGCTGGCTAAATTTAAGTTGAATTAAGAGATCTCTTGAATGTTCATCAAGCACGTCACCACCAATCTTTGATGGAAGATCATCAAACTTTTCAGTGCATGATATTTCTGAATCACAGCAGTGTTCTCGATGACGCATGCGTAGCATTCATGGAAACTAGTCTGCCAGAGTACGCACTGAGCTTGTTATAAACAAGACAAGTACGATTTTCTGTACAAGGAATTTTGTCAGAAAACGTGACTGAGCTGCTTAAAACAACGAGGTCGGTAAAGTTTATCAGGCACTATGGGATCACCAATGCCTTGGTAACCGTTGACTCATTTATGCTTTTGAAAAAGACGTAGCCTTAGATTCGTTAGAAGAATCACCTTCAATTCTTCCGTTTCCGGGCTGTACTGCAGCATGAACCCGACTTTCCCGAGCGTGGACACGAGGGAGTTGGCCGACTCGCTACGGGGCATTTCGGCGGCAGCAATTTCCGCTGCTATAGCCGACGGGTCGTCCGTTTCTGAATTTTCAGCATTCGAATTTCTGCGGGAGTCGGATGGGTCGTAGATGGATTCGCGGAACGAAGGACGCTGAACAGCGACCACCGCGGGGTTCAGCGAGGAACCCGTGGCGTCGTCGCCTGAACCCGCGCCAGTGGCTCCGAGACTGACTCCGTGGCGGCGCATTGGAATGTACGGATCTGTCGCTTCGGATGCCTTTCGAACCTGTCAATATAGGATATACACCCCCGGTCATACAATAGGAGTGTCCCTCAATCAATTTTGTGGAGGTCCATGCGGAGATTTCCCCCTTTTTAAAGTTGTCGTTTTTCGGCATGTGTCCTTTTGCATCCACGGGGATACGAGTAAAATATTGTGGTATTATTATTCTACCCACGATCTCATGGCCTGGGTGGTTCACCCGAGGAATTCGTTTTTCACAAGATCGGCAGGAAATTTCTTCCCTCCGGTTTGAAGAATTCTCGGAAATGAGCTGGATCCCAAAATATGCACGGCAGTTCTCCTTCAAATTCAACAGTTTGCGAAGTACTGCATTTCTCACATTTTGCACTGGCTCACAGGTGAAAACAGGAGGGAGCAATATCTACGCGTAAAATTCTGACGAGAGAAACTTCCTGGCCGATGATTATTTAGCAAGTTCGTCGATAGGTCAATAACGTGTCTGAGAATTTATCGCATCGTATACTTTTTGTATCCGCAACCTTTCCCAAGCACAATTTTCGTTTTTTACATTTTTTCGGTTTACCAGCTGCACTTCTTGAACAATTATCGCTTTTCTTGAAGCCGATGCAGTTCATCCACCGACAAATTTCTAATCAGAATCTGGGTTTTGCCCATTTTGTATCGTGCATCCGCGTTGAAAAAAAAACAGCGTAATTTTTTCCATTGGCCATGAAACATTCCGATGGTTAAAATGAATTACAGTAGGATCTCGTTACAATGAATCTCATTACTGTAACGAATTACTGGTTAAAACAAATTCGTTTTTCAGGTCCCTGCACAATACGGTAGCAACGATGTTATTCAAATTGCTTTCTAACGGATTTATTTTTATTACAGAGCTCTTTTCCTGGTCATAGCAGTTTTATTGTAACGAGCGTTTACTGCAGTATAGGGAACAGCTTCGTCCTTTATTGAAGGACGACGTGAGTGGTAAATTCAAGATTTGGAAAGTGAATGCTTACATGTACAGTACAAGTATTACAAATGGTACTGCTCATAAACGGGTGGAAAGATCTGGAGTCCCAGTTAGTAAACTTACTTGTGGGATGCTGACGTACGGAAACGTAAACGGGGCACCGCGCTTTGTCATGTACGGCTCCAAGGGCGAGTTGATGAGGATTTTCGGCGGCGGCAAGGACTTGAGGGACGCCCTGCTGAGCCGCCGTTTGCGCACGAGCAACACGACCGCGACGAGCACTAGCACCGCAACCGCGACGGCGGACCCCGAACCCAACACCAACACCGACACGGACGCCGAGGATTCCTGGCGAGGCCCGGCGAATTCTTCCACGAATTTCCCGTGCCCCGTGGACGTCGTGGTCGTCGACGACGTCGGCACAACCGCCGGGTGTCGGGCTGCGAAGGGAAACAAAAGGGATTCAGTCCGTCGGGTTCGGGATTCGACTTGGATCCCGTGGTGAGTGGTTCTAGTTACCTAGAAGCATTGAAAAGCCGCTGTCGTCTGTCGGGCCCTGGACACGCTCGCCGACGGGCTGATTCAGCGCGGGGATTTGCAGGCGAGAGTATGATATTTGCGGATCTCCTGGTAACGCCTCCTCGGGTTCCTGCGCGACTTCGCCCTGCCACAACTCATTTCCTGTTTCCGCTGGCATCCGCTCGTATCCGGCCAACCTGCCGTCGTTGATCGGGAATTCGATGCTTTCAAAGGGACTCACTCACAGTTTACTTTCGCAATGAATCGGGTGCGATCTTCGTAATACCCATGCAAGACTCTAGCTTTTTCAATAATATTCCTTGGGCGACACTAGGAACTATATAAGGCTTTATTGGTTCAAATACGGTATTGAAAATAAATAGCCAGTTGAATTTATTTACGACGAATCTTA